CCGCCACCACGCCTGACTAATTTTTGTATTTTTACTAGAGACAAGGTTTCACCATGTTGGCCAGGCTAGTCTCAAACTCCTGAACCTCAGGTGATCCACCCGCCTTGGCCTCCCAAAGTGCTGGGATTACAGGCGTGAAGCCACCGCACCCACCATATTATGAACATTCTTGTGCATGACTTTTGTGACACATATACACATTTCCATTTCTAGTATTTTGGTTTTTAAAAAATTTTGGCGTATGTGCATTATACTTATCAATTAGTTCAGCATCCCTAATCTGAAATGCTCCATGAGTATTTTCTTTAACTGTCATGTTGGCTCTCAAAAAGTTAACAGATTTTGGATTAGGTATGCCCATCTGTGTATCTCTAGCATTAACAGATACTTCCACATAGTTTTCCAAAGTGGTTGTATTTCTACCAGCAGTATGTGAGGCTGATTCAAGTTGTCCTACAGTTTGTTAACATTTTGTTATACCATTTTTTTTTTGTATTTTAACCATTCTAGTGTGTGTAGTGTTTTCATCATGGTTTTGATTTGTACTTCCTTCATGATGACTGCTTTTATGTATGTTTATTAGCCATTTGTATATCCTCTTGTGAAGTGTGGAGAATCTTTTACTTGTCTCTCTAATGTCTCTTTCCTGCCAATTTGTAGGAATTCTTTATGTATTTTATCTGTGACTCTTGTCAGAAATTCTGTGCTTTTTCACTGTCTTAATGATGACTTTAATAAACACAGGCTTTTTAATTTTAACAAAATCCAATTTGTCCATCATTTTCTTTATGACTAGTGCTTTCTATGTTCTATTTAAGAAACCATTGCTTACTTCAGGGCTGTGAGTGTTTTCTCATATGGAGGCACATTTAAATATGTAAATGACCTAGAACTGATTAATGTATAAGGTGTGACATGGATGTAAAGAACTTTAAACAAGAGGGTGATAGTAATTTGATAATTAGATAGTAGAAAATAGAAATCAAAGACTGAGAAATAGTGGAAACTTGTTAGTATAGTCTGCTTAAAGTCTGCAAGCTTATGAGGAAGATCAACAAATTGATATATTCAAGTCAAATTGATGAGATTTCATTATAGACTACCTATGGGTGAAGGGAGAGGAGATGCTGAAAAGGAACTAATGGATTTTGCTTTGACAAACTGAGTCTGTATGGTGCCATCAAATAATATGGGGAAAAGAATAGAATGTGGGGGCAATAACATTAAGTTTAGTAGATGCTAACATACCAAGTTTTGTGTTCTTGTGAAATATCTTAAGGAGATATACACACCTAGTACTGTACTTTGGATTTATAAAAGATAAACACAGAATTTTATTTTCTGTTTGTAGGTAGTGCTATAAATACAAAAATAGAAAATATACTACACTGGCTACATCCATGTTTTATTAACATAATTTTTGTGAATTCATCGTGTAGAGCCTCCATCTACAGCAGCATGGGGCCCGGATCTTCCAGACAAACCCTGGATATATATATAGGTCTGCAGCTCATTTTACCCTTTATAGGGATAAGAAATCACCATCACTCTAGAACTTCCAGAATTGCTTATTAATTTCTCATATTATTTGATAATACCTACACATGGAGTTTACTGTACACATAAGTCATGCCATAACTGTATTCTATTGAGAGTATTAATCCCTTGGTTTCAACATTGTTTTCTAAATTAGTACTAAGTAAGTACTTGAATATGATTGGATGGGATCTCATACTCCAAAAGGCTGAAAGTATCTTAATATGACTTTCTCACAGGGACCTAAAATTAACCAAGTCCAAAAGGGAATCATTTTTCATTTTTAACAGA